GGGATCGGAGCGCGGATCGGCCGGGCAGCCCCGGGCGGCCCGGCTCCTGCATCCAGGTCTTCCCGGCGCCCGGGAGAAGCCAGAAGCCAGCGGGACGCTCGGGCTGGGTGGCCGGCCTGCTCCGAGTTCTGGGAGGGCGCGTACCTCCTCTCGGGAAACTTCCCACCGTCCACCTCCCCGAGCCCTGACAGCCCACCTGCCCGGGGCGCGGACAGCCCTGCCCCGTCGCGCTGCCCGCGCCCCGGCGTCTGCCAGGGTGGCCCAGGGACCATTCCGCTCCGTTCTAATGGTTGCTCACGGCCTGGGCGTGTGTCCCCCCCAAAAGCCACATGTTGAAAGGTAACGAGTGTCGTGGCGTCAGGGTGACACGAGGAACCCTCAGGGACCAGCGACTTGATGGAGGCCCGGAGGACGTCCTCCCCGGCGCACAGGCACCATGGGCACCGCGCTCCTGGCGGTCCCGCCGCCGGCTGCGGGGGAAGGCCTGTGCCCATAACCACCTGGCTGCGAGCCGCTGGGCGGCACTGTCCACGCCACCGCAGAGGACAGCCGAGTCTGAGCTGCGGACTTGCAAACCCATGGAGCCTAACGCAGTCACTCTGCCCTGCTGTAGCCTGAGAACCCAGGGAGGGAGGCCAAGTCCCTGAGGCTCATGCTGAGGGCAGCTCTGGCGACTGCCATCCTAAGACTGCCTGGCCCTCCTCCCTGCCCTGCTGGCCGGTGCTAGTGCAGTTAAACTACGGAGTGGGTAGCAATGGTGCCCAATACGAAAACATCCGCCCGAGGTAAGTCTGCTGCTTTCTCTCATGAGAGCGAGCCGGGCACCCTGAGCAGAGGGCAGGTCTCAAAGCTCCAGCCTCCTCCAGCCTTTCCAGCCAGCAAGGATCACAGGCTGGCACCCCACACCACCCAGGTACTGACCCAGACCAAAGCCCAGTCTTCCATTGGCTCCACATGGAAGGGCAGCCGCCCACCTCGCTGGGCCAGAGCTGTTGCTTCTTCTTGGGGAAATAAGGCTGCTACAGCAAACTGAAACTAACACGTGATGAAGGAGCAAAATATTTGGTAAAACTATTGCCTACAGTAACTTGCAAGCTGTAAAACAAGCCTGGTAAACATCTCCGCCTGGACATATGCTTCCCGGGCAGAAAGCTTGGTGTGCCAAGGGGTGTCCTAGCTGCATAGCAGAAGGATGGCCTGAAAGGAACACAAAAGCCACTTCATGAGAATTGAGAGGGAACACCAGATTTAGCAGACTGCAAAGCGATTTCTGGTTGTCATCTCCAGTCTCCTCCACCAGGAAAAGCTCCTCAAGGTGAGGCTGGAAGATCTGGGAAGGTAAGACAGAAGTCCACACCTGGACGGCTCCTCACAGCAGCAATGCACTGCTCCCGGAGCCAGAGCCCACGTGGCCCCCGCTCACAGCCTGGCTGTGAGCCCGACATGCATAGATGAAACACGAATGGCACAGGCCCCTCATAAACTTTTTCTACAGAGAGGAGCCCGGAGGGATCGAACGGATGCCTCCCCAGCAGCCTGGCGCATGCACAGTGGTCGTGATTAGGCCTGGAGTGAGAAGTCTGAGAAACACTGTGGAGTCCGTCAGATTTCATGCAGAAAGTTTTTACAGTTTTACAAGTTTTCTTTTTTTTTTTTGAGAGATTTTCGCTATAGGGCGCGTGCACTCGCCAGACAGACAGAGAGAGACATAGAGACAGAAAGCGAGAAATCACCCCCCAGGGGGGATGGTCACGCCGCAATCCCTTCTCCTCCATTCTCCTCTCGGGATCTTGGGCACGTATGCACACGCGCCCGGCGTTGAGTTTTAAGCCACCGGGTCCGGGACTTGAACCGCGGTTAACTACATGGGAGTCCAGCGACATAGCCATTACGCTAACTGCTGGTTCCCCAGTTTTACAAGTTTTAAAAGTCCTTCCAACTCGGACAAAAAGGGACTGAAATGGTCCATATTGAAAAAAAAAAAAGTTTCTGAGACCAAACTTTGGGCAGAATGCAGGCTGGGAAGGGAAGGCAGCTACCCCCAGGAGCCATTTCTTCACAAGTAGCTAAGGAGGAGGCCTGCAGGTGGCATGGTGAAGATGGCTGGATCCCACATGGCCTAGTGCACAGTACGAGTCCTAGACCTGATGCTTGGCAAATATGCCCAGCGTAGGTACATACGTGTCCAAGGTCCCAAGAGGAGAACAGAATAGAAGAGATTGTGCTGTGGCCAGCCCCCTGGGGTGATTTCTCACTTTCTCTGTGTGTGTCTACTCACCCCATAGAAAAAAACCATTGTAGAAAAATAAAGTAGCTAAGGAGGATGGAAACGAAAGGTGCTCAGATAGTCTGGCCAGGACCCTGGGGAGCAGGGACTAGAGAGCTGTCCCTAGATGTGTTCACTGCTAGAGTCTCACAGCCCTGATGGGCTGCCTATGAGCAAACCAGCATTCACAGTCACAGATGAGCCCTGGGAGAAAATAAAACCAAACCCAAACAAAACCTCTAGGTTCTCATTCTCTGCACATCATCCCCCCCCCCGGAAGCTGGGTCCCACTTGATGAGCACAGTTTGAAACCCCGGCCAGGTCAGCCTGAAACGTGCTGGGCACATGCACAAGTGCCGTGGAGCCGGTGGTCTGGAGGACTAGAGGGGGATCATGGCGCCACCAGGTCCTGTGGAAGGTACTTGCCAAAGACAGGCAAAAAGGAAGATGGAGAGGGGAAAAGCAACCCCCACTGGGGCATGGTCATGCCACAGTCCCTTCTCCATTTCTCCACCGTCAGGTTTTGGGGCATGCATGCATCTATGCCATGTTTTTCAAGCTGCCGGGGCCAGGATTCGAACCACATCCTTGGCCATGTGGGATCTGGCCATGAGCCAGGCTCTAACTGAATTTCAAAGTCTGTGTCGATCCAGTCCCTCCAATGGACCAATGTGGAAGGACAGACTTCATTTAGGGGCAAAGGCAAAAACTGTACTAACATAATAATTATTCCTCTTTATATTTCAAAATGTAACACCTTTGAAAGAAGTCTTGTGTAATACACTTGCCCAAAAATGTCCAGAACAACTAACACAGGACAGATGAGCCTTGGAAGAAAATAAAACCAAACCAAAATGAAATCCCTAGTCTCATTCTCTACACATTATTCCCTACTTGGAGAAGAATCCGCAGGCAGTCTACAGCTGACTGGCAGGAGTGCTTCTGCTGAGGAAGGCAATCAAGCCTTCAGAGCAAGACCCAGCAGACTGGCAGAGTTGGTCGAGCCCTCAACCCAACATTAAAGCACAGGCTGACAGCGGGATCGGGCACCAGGCAATGGCAGACTGATGAAAAAGGTCGCCAGCCATGCAGACGGGAACAGAAGCCACGCTGGAGCCTTGGGAATTCAATTATAGGCCCACCTGCCTTAAAAATAAAGAAATAAAACAGCTAGGGAAACAGGCTTTGAAGAGGATTAGGTAATTGCCACAGAACAATTTAACGAAAACACTGAAGTTCTAAGGTACTGCGTTAGGTGCTCTGGACAGAAGGACAAATGAGGCAGCGTTCTTATCCGCACAGGTGACCAGGCTGCACATGGGTCCCGGTCCTGTTAGTTGCTTCTTACACTGAGAGCCAGAACAAGCTTGTTTCAAGCGCTACAGACGCCAGCATTTATCAATGCTTCCGAGGTTCATCTCCACGCTATGAAGGTTTCCTTCCTGCCGGGTACCGATGAGAGCATCCACGGTGTGCACTCTTGACCGTTATCAACATGCCATTAACGGGCACACACAGGTGTCTGGGCAGATGGCTGGCTTCTCCTTTAAAGGTTTTTGCCATAGGGCGCTTGCGCAGTAGAGACAGCGACAGAGGGAAGTGAGAAGTCACCCTCCCAGGGGGATTGGCCACGCGCAGCCCCGTCTCCATTCTCCCGGGATCGGGCACACGTGCCCTCGCGGGGTCTGCCTACAGGCCCGAGTGTCTCACGCGGCACACGCACCCGGCACCGCGATTTGGCGGCCTGTGGCTCTGGCGAGCTGTCCCGGCCCCGACCCAGGGGGCTGACCCTCGCCTCTTAGGGCGCGCCGTGATGACGCCATCGCAACAGCGCGCAGACGTCGAGCCTCCAAGGGACGCTCGGCTCCGAGATTCTCGCGATACTTGCGGCGAGGGCTCCCAGAAGCACCTCCTCGTCGGAAGCATGTCTGCGGTGCGGCCCCGGCCCCGCGCCGAGCGCTAAAGGGAGCAGGCGCCATGCA